CTAAAACGGACCCTGACAAGCTTAAAGCCATTTAGCAGTACGTTAAGCCAAAGCTTTTTTAAGGTCAGGTAATTTTTGGGCTTAGGCTGTGTGTTTTGTGAAGGACTTTGCGGCAATAGCAAAACACCTTAAAAGGCGAAAATGGTCAGTTAGTAAATATAGGTGCAAAAATTTCCCATCCAAATAGTTCAACGTAACGAGTTTTAAAGACTTAGAAACATTTTAGCGTCGGAAGATGTTATGTTAATGTACCTTGATTGCAAGAAGTTTTTTACTTGACTACAGCTGCGTCGGATCACAGCATTGGGGCAGTCCTTTCTCAAAATGGGCGACCAATAACAATGATTTCCAAAACGTTAAAAGATAAGGAAACGAACCACTCAACTAACTACGCTAGTTCTAGTAAGTCACGCGAGTTAGTAGCCATTGTTTGGGCCCTGGGAAAAATTCATCGTTATCTCTACGAGATAAGAGACATCAATATATTTACGGACGACCAACCTCTCGCGTCTGCGGTTTCAGAAACGAACCGTAACGCAGAAATTAAGCGGTGGAAAGAAAGCCCGCATCGGCGAGAAGGGATTCAATGCGCTTGAAAACAGTCCTGTGCAGCTACAATACAATACGTAAATCATTGAGACGACGAAACCGCCAATTGCTTTATGAATCAGATTATGGTAGTGGAAGCGCGTCCCATTGAAAAGAAAATGGATTTTGTTTGGTGAAAATACTCGTCACACGATCTATTTTAACCGATACCAAATACCTTATCAAGGAGATTAAATCGGTGATAAACCGAAGTGTTGTAGACGAAATTCACTGCGACTTAACCACTCTCGGTTGCTTCCAGAACGAGCTCGTAAAAAACTTCCCAAAACGAAGTTTTGTCATTATAAGAACATTGTTGCCGACGTTTTCAAAAGCAACGAGTGAAGGGATATTATGACTGCTTAACATAGCTTAACTCATAGAGCCGCGCAGGAAAACGTTAGACAGGTTATGTCTGACTACTACTTTTCTAAAATGATAGAAATCGTGAATGAGGTGGCCATTAACTGTAAAACTTGCACCGGAAGAAGCAAGTACTTGGCCGAACACCGATCCCTTCGGAGAAATGTTTCACTTTTTTTTTGTTTCTTTTTACCGACAAAAAATTTTTCATGACATGTGTTGACAAACTCTCTAAGTTCGCGATAACGCAACCCAAAACTTCGTGGACCATTGAAGACGTGAAGGCGCCACCCATGGTGCTCATGATTTTCATTCCGCACGCTTAGCATGTGAACTGTAACAATTAGCCCGAATTTGAGTTCGAGACTAATACGGCTTAACTTTTAAATAATTTTGGGGTTAGCATTGCCAATGGCCTCCTCTCCATAGCACATCTAACGGCCAAATCGAGAAGTTTCATAGCACTCTTCTAGAAATAGCGAGATGCATCGAGCTCCAGAACGGAGATCCTGCAAACGACCAACATCGGAGCACTCCGTCACAAATAGAAATCCGGTTGACGTTCTCCACGCCCCGACCCATAGTACATGGCAAGTAGTTACCAAAGTCCAAAAAAAAATCAAACAACCCAAAGTCAAAGAGTTAACAGGAACAGGCATAACAGGGTTTTGAGGTAAGGGAAAAGGTACACGTAAAATCCAACAGGAGGCTACGGAACAAGCTCACCCCCTTATGTTCAGAAGAAAAGGTTGAAGCTGATTTGCGGACAACGGTTCTTATTAAAGGGAGGGTGGGTCACAAGGAAAACCTCCGTTAAAACCTTAGTCCGCTTTTAAACGCGTCTTTTACATTTGTTACACTCGATTTTCGTTTTATAACTCCGGGTCTTCTAATATTATCTTTTTTTCCCTCGCTTCCGTGACAGTACGCGTCAGGAACTACTCACTCGAACTATGTACTGGTTATAGAAAGGGACGCATTAGTAAAGGACGGACGTAATTACCTTAGACATACCGCAAAACACGTATAAGTTTAACGGGCATGTTTCCACAATCTGACATGTGGAAATTGTTAAAAGTAGACACCGGACTCGTTGTATGCTATCAATGTGCACCATAGGATAGCAAGAAATTTAGACTTCTTGCTTCAAAGGTGATTGCCGGCACCCCCTCGTACACACATAAACCGTTTAACAGACATACGAGGATTTACGAACTTTATAAGGGGAGCAGTTAACCACATAATGCCCCCTGCCATCGAGAAACGCTTACACAGTGTTTTCGGCGATCAACGACACGCGCAGCTGCCAGCGCTGGACAGCTTTTTGCGAAAAATCCGCTTAAAATCTAGTTAGTCCCACGAATTTGATAAATCTGACAAAACTGCGCAGACGAGAACACGCAAAAGTTCCAAGTTATAATTTCATTGTCTTGCAAAAAAGGTTTTTTACTATTCACTTATTGCGACTATTTATTGTGGATTACATAGTACCTTCATAATATCGGATTTTAGATATTTTGTGCTAGTTAACGACAGTGCCACGCAAGGTAATGCACTGTCGATACTATTGCGCCACTTATATTTTTGTTACTTCTGATCCACTGCTCACTGTCCAAAGACAAACGGTTTGCCATGGTTTGTCCCATCTTCGTAAAATACATTCCTGAGCATCTAAGGCCAGAGATCATCTGCGTATGGTGCAAGTTAACTTCGCTGTGTTTCCTGCCGAGCCAGCATGTTAAGTTAGAAAATAGCCGATGTCTTAATGTCCTTAATGCGCACGAATGTCTCTGAATTGATGCGCAGCGCACATCTCATAATAGTAGCTTATGAATTTCCTTGCCCCACTAAACCAAATAATGGGGGAATCTATCGAAAGTGTCACCCATAAGACGCGGTCGTATTTGATGTTGTGAAACTCGGGGTTTTTAAATTTCAAACACATTTATTATCACAGTTAGCAGTGTTGAACAGATTTTGAACGCGCAGTGTGTCGATTTGTTATCGATTGTTGACTTGCGACCCACAATAGATGCTAAAAAATATATTGACTTATTGCCCTGTATAATGAGGGTTCCTATGGAACCCTATGGAACAAATTTTCCTGATGGAGGGAAAAGTTTTTTGTATTAGACACTCGCTATAAGGGCTTGTTTTAGAGCATGATTGAGAGTACCATCCGGGCCAGACACCTTGCTGGTCTTACGCCTTTTGCATTCTCCGTAATCTCATCCGTTCCCACTAGTAGTTGACGAAGTTGCAGGTTCAATCTCGAATATGTTTGTTGGATTCATAGGGAAAAATGATACACAATAATCATGAGTTTAGTCGAATCCGTTCTGGATGCTTATTTCTAAGAGTAGAGTTGTTGGGCGACCATCTTATAGGCTTTGCCGGCGTATTTGCCAGAGTGCCACAACTCAAGGAAGTGGACTCGACTGCTAATACGGATTGGAACCTTCAGTTGCTTTTGGCTGGTTGATATTGTGAAGTAGCGAAGTAGCTTGCCGCTGGTGGGCCTGACGCGCAGTGGCACTGCGTACGACGGCTCGCGTTGCGGCATGCTTTTATCATAAGCTTGTGCAACAAGAAACCTACATTTAATTTTCAAGGGAACAGCCCGGGTTAATATCTTCTTCATCATCATATGTAACTTATATCGAGTGGTTAATAACAAGAGCAGGTATATCACTTGCATATAAGCTGTAGTGTCGAGCTCAGGACACTCCTCAAGGGACTCCGGCCGCGATGCCCCTGCTGTTGGTGAAAGCAGCATTAACAGAAACTTTGGAAATTCTGGCAGCCAGCTAGGATTATAATATCAGGTAAATTGGTATAGAGAATAACAGTTTGAGCTAGCCTAGCATATCCTTATGCCACACTGTGCAGAGACGGAAGAAGGAAGCATCTCTGACCCCATAAAATATATATATTCTTGGCCAGTACCGATAGCTGAGTCGACCTACCCAAGCTTGTCTGTCCATCCATTTAGTCACCGCACCTGCCCCCTCCCGAGTAAAGTGAAATCAAGTGAATATAAATCTATTATAAAACTAAATTCCAATTTGACATACTTTTTCGAATTCCATAAATAGAATTTCAATTGCATTTGCATTGCATGCGTATATGCGTATGCTGCGTGCGTAAATGAGCTATTTTAATCCTGTTTTTTCCGAAGAATCCCAATTGTTAGTATGGCGTTAACATATAAGGCGATGGCCATTAGTACGTTCGGTGAACGTGAACGGTGAACTCGGGCATGAGTTTAATCTCAGTAGTTGGAATTTTTTTTTTTTTTAATTTTGTATTTATTATAATGCTAGTTGTGTCCCTTAAATAGCAATCATGTAGCGCGAGATACTTCTGATTTTTTGAAAAGAAGGTCGAGTAATCTCTCAGTCGGGCGGTTCCAATTCAAATTATTTACAATTGTCTTTCAAATACTTTAAGCACAATTGGGAAAAATGCTGGTTGGGTAACAGCTGTCTACTTTGTCAAGAGGTCTGTTTGGTTTTGGAATCCGAGGTAATGAAGTTTAGGAATGGCAATGCGTTTTTCCAAGAGAGAAATAAAGACTTATTAATCAAGACAGTGGTATATCCAATCTTAAAAAAAACAATGGCAGCACAGTTTACGGAGGTTAAATCGAAAGTAGCAAAACGATTGTACAAACTCGATTAAAAAGCTGCCAACATTTTTCAAATCCAATAGGCACTATCAGCGTTTTAAGTTATTAAATTAAAGCCAACCTGTCGCTTGATATACCGGGTCAATTCAATAGATTGCAGAACTGAACATTTTTTCGAGAAGGTTCTCAAACACCTGTGATTATACAAAAATAAGCTCTCTCCGCAGAAAAACGCGTTCAGTACACATTATCTTTTGGATCAGATCCAACGTCTTCTAAGACAACGCGTTTCATGAAACAGTATTTTTAGCGACTCCTAAGAGCGTAAAAAATAGTGTAAGCATTTCATGAGCTCTCCATGATATAACTTTTAGATGAAAATTTTTCTTAAGAGCAAGAGCTGATCCGACCTTAACTTTCTCTAGTAAATTGCAAAGTCCAGGGCGCCAGTCTTCTGCCTGGGAATAAACGGATACCGGGAAGGTAGATTCTGTTAATATCTCATAAATAGTTTTTACACGGGTAAACGATCTAGGAGAATCTCACAAACTATGCTTAGCATTCCACTCACTTACAACAATATGGATACCCAGTTATGTTCTGCTACCTACCCCAAGAATGGAAACTTGAGTCTGAATTGTGCTTACAAATTGTAATGGATAGTGTATATGCAAATCGTTGCGCACAAGCACAATCGCATTATAAAGGCCTATTCAACCCGGAATCGTTTTAAGACAGGTGTCAAGTTAATAGAAGTCAACTGCTGATTCACTGTCCATGGAATGCAAAAAATAATCGTTGGCATCGTTCACAGCTCGTACCATACCCCAGTCTTGCTGGTACACACACACAAACTCCTTTTGATGAACATATCCACCCATCTTAACAGTCTACATAACTGTAAATGCTCAAAAACTTAAAAATTACATTTAAAAATGATTGTTCTCTGACTTAAATGGTTTTTTGAAAGGCATAAGTTAACAGCTAGTATTCAAGTGGCCTTTAAACACGACTATAGCAGGATGGACGCATTTTTTCAGATCGAACACATTTCAATCTCGTAAATGGATTTTGAAAGGACGCTGAAAAATTTATGATTAAATTTGAACTTAGCAAACATACTTATTTTATCTATTACCAAGGCCTTAATCACAACAAAGGGAGAGTTCTTAGTTGAGAGTGATTGACGTGTTTTACTTGTGCTCCAAGATTTTTATATATTTTGCGCTTCTATTCTGGTTTTGTAGCTAAATTTTGCAAATTTTGTGCTTTATTAAAAAAGCTTTAATTACTTGTGCAAAGTGCTATCTGTTGTGCAGCGTAAGTCTATTAATTATGTTCTTTTATTAAACGCGGCGTCAGTTCCGTGTTATTGTTAGTGTCTGGTTTTATTCATTGTTTTGGTGCTCCCCTGTGCATACACTTGTTTGTGCTTGTGTTCGCTGGTGCATATTTCTGCTTGTGCATCGCGCTCTCACTAATTTTTGTTGTTCCCTTTTGCTCCAAACAATTTGTTTGTGTATGAATATGTTTACTTTCTCTATTTTTTTGTGCGCTGTCTTCCGTTCGCTCTGCGCTCTCGCAACATCTGCTTAACTTTTAACACCGGTAGAAAATATGTCGTGCTGTAAGAAACGCTCAAGCAGGCTGATGATTCTGCACAGCCGCAATTTGTTAATTGCTGGCTGTGTGAGAATATGATGCATGCTAAATGTGCAGGTCTCACTGGGCGTGATTGCGACAAGATCACTGCAGTTGCCAAGAGGGGCTGTGGCGGCTTGCGTTGGTCGTGCCCAGTATGCATCAACAAGCAAATTGAATTCTCCAGAATGGATAATTGTTAGAATTTTTAAACTTAATAATTAGCCACATTATCGCAGCTCGCGAGTAACTTTGACTCGAGTTTTGAGTTGCTTAGCATATATAAATTCGAGTCCACCGAATCGCCGGTTAGAGCCACAATTTTTGCATTTGCCCTCTCCGTCTGTCCAAACACCTACGCCTCTTTCGTCCGTGCCTAGCAACTTGGATTTATCCCCAATGTTGTCATTATCGACTGCTCCGAACGATTGTCCAAATATTACCCCTGTAGTATCCCCTGGAGTAGTCCCAGTAGACCCTGTAGTTGAACCCGCCCCAGTCAGCGAAACTGTTTCAGCCCTATCAGCTTTTGTCCGCAAAGGTAACCATGCACGCAATCTAGCCCAGATTGTTAAAAGAAATCATGGTGACCCACCAACTCCTGTTTTATCTTTAGCCCCATCAGCTCCTTTTTTGACTGTTGCTGCCCCTCGTAGACAAGTTTTTATGTCTCGACTTTCGTCTAACACCACTTGAGAGTCATTGGCTGCCTACATTGCTAGCAAATCTGCTAGCGTGTCAATAACCAAATTTACCAAACCAAATTTCTGCACTCCTCATGAAATAGCATCATTCAAAATGAATATTTCACTTGATTCGTTTCTAATCATTTGTGATCCTAAATTTTGGCCTCCTCATATGATAGTTCACTAGTTTACGCGAAAAAGCGAAACCAACCTGTCACCATTCCGCTCCCTTTAATACAGGGCAGCAACAAATCTTCCGACCTAGTATTTTTTCATTATTAGAATGTCAGAGGTCTCATTTCAAAGCTTAAAAATCTTTTTATGGCTGCACTCCCTTCGATTCGGATATAATCGCATTTTCAGCAACATATGGTCATTATTCGCCGCCAAAAATGATCTGGGACCCTCAGCACAGCATGACTTGATGGATTGCCTGCTAAACCTTTCCTTGTTTCAAATCAATTATATTTTTAATCATTTGAATAGAACACTTGATCTTGTATTTGTCAACGATTACCTTATTGCTAATGTGTCCAGGTCCCCTTCTTTTATCGTTCCTGAGGAAGTATATAATCCTACTTTAGAGGTTGCAATGTTCAATTGAAATACTCCTATTTCTCATTCATCAGCTATCAAAAAGCCCCACCGTTGCTTTTGCAAAGGAAACTTTTCCTTGCTTCATCAACGTATTCATGCAACCGATTAGTCTTTTTTATATGACTCTGTTGATATTGCTTTAAATTTTTTTTTATAACACCCTCAACTCCCTCTTAGATGTTTGTATTCCAAACTTAAGTCCTTCAATTGCTTCTTCAAAGCCAGCCTTGTTTACTACCAGACTATCAAACGTAAAAAATATTAAGTTAAAAAAGTTAGGTTTGAGTATTGACTTGGCTAAATATTCTATAGCCAAGTCGAACTTTTTTTTCTGAATTCTTAGTGCTACGAGAATTATCTTGCTCGTTGCAAAAGGTGATTTGTCCAAAATCCGAGACAGTTTCATAATTTTGTAAGCATGAAGCATAAATCTTCAAGTTTGCCTTCTATTTCTCTCGGGTTGGATAAATCTAAAATATTCCTTGTTGTCTACTCAAGGATGGTAGCTCTTCCCTTCTTCGTCCATTGCTAAGGCTTTTTAATCTATACCTTGAATCTTCTGTCTTTCCATCACTTTGGAAAGAATCTTATATCATTCGCCTCCACAAGAAAGGTGGTAAGTCTGATATTAAAGATTACAGGGGCATTGCAAACCTGTCGACTATTCCGAAATTATCTGAAAAAATCAGTTGTCTCCCCTGTTCAACATGGATGAACATGATCTATTAGTCTTTAAACTTCACCGCGTAGGTTTCCCTCTGTCTATTTTGCTTTGGGTTTGTTCTTATTGAAAAGGTAGGACTCAAAGAGTAATGCTGGGGCTGACTACCTCAAAACAGGTTCACGCTCATTCCGGTGTTCCTCAAGGAAGTTATCTTGGCCCTTTACTCTTTACTCTTTTTATAAATGATCTCCCCTCGGTTATGAAACTTATTCTTTCATACACTAATCCCCTACATAATTCTCGTGTACAAGATGATTTAAACGCTATGTAACTTTGGTGTACGGCCAATCAATTGCATCTAAATTGTTTAAAGTGTATATTTATGCACTTCAATCCTACTACACCTTATCTTGTCAGTTATACAATCGACAGTACTCCATCGCAACGTATACTAACAGTTATGGATCAGGGCGTTCTTTTTTATTCTAAGGTCTGCTTCAATCTTAATATTGAAATAATCGTTAATGAGGCCAAAGGTGTACTTGGATACATTAAAAGTTGGTCTAAGAAGCTTAGCGATCCCTTCATAACCAAACTTCTATACATCTGTCTTGTACGTCCTATCGTTAATAGCCAGGATCGTATTGAATCAGTTGAGAAGCAATTTCAGCTTTTTGCCTTACGAGGTTTAAATTGGGACCCCAATCTTCGGTTGCCATCCTACTCCGTCGTTAACCAACCGTAGGACAATTCTCGGTGTTGTCCTTCTACATAGGATGATTGTTGGCGACATAGATTCTTCTTTTCAGTTAGGGCGTCTTTAATTCTCTGTTTTGTCTAGATCTACCAAGAATTATCGCCCCTTATTCCTAGGTAGGAATAAGCACGTAGGTACGTGCACAACAGATTACGCTATGCACAATTCTTTTTGCGTGTTGAGATAAATAGTTTTTATCATGTTTTCTCCACCGAACTTTCTCTTCCCCTAATAAATCGATGCTTTCAAGATAACTTCGGAAAATCACTGACCATTCCCAGCTATGAGTAGGGGCATAGCTGGCCGGACAGGCTATAAATTTCCCACCACTGGGTCGGTGGTTTCCCATCACTATCTCTTTATCCTATCAACTTAAAAATCTGTATATCGAGTATAAGTTTCTTTACTTCATTAATAACTACTTTCTTTTTTCCTATTTATTGTATTTTCTTAAATAATATAGTATATTAAGATTATTTTGAATTTTTACTTAAGACCACTATTTTTTCTACTAACACCCTTCTTCTTAGCTGTAGGCTCCTGTGAACCTGTGAAAAGGGGCATAGCTGGCCAAACGGGAAAATAAAACACCTGTTAGAAAATTGTGTATTCTAATTAGGCTTTTAGCATTTAATTTTTTGATTTACATTTTTGATTTGATACATTGAATAATTTGGAAGACAATCGTTTTTGTCGACAATAAATAAATTAATAAAATAAATAAACAACTGGGCCTGACTACAGCGTACTAATCTACGGCTGGAGGTTTAGAAGTCATCAAAAAGCTGCAGCCCTCATTGGATCAATTGACTGTTTGATGCTTCATCAACACATTTCCGACCTCGCCTACAATATGTATCATTGCCCAGTTTTGACTATCCACCATCAAACAAGGGCTTCACTCATCAAACATAATTTATATATCCTACAACATATGTTATCATAAGATACGTAATTACTTCATCAACGCAATTTAAGCTATATGGAACCACAAAGTTCTATAACTAACTTGACAATACTCTATCCTATTCAAAAATGTTAGCACTAAAATATATACTCGCACATCTCGGAAATTGTATAATATATATTATACTAGCGGGTGTTGCCCGGCTTTGCCCGTAGAACGTTTTGTGCCAAAAATTCAC